TTGGTCTTTAACCTTTGGTCCTCTCTTCCTTGCTTGCTCTTAGTGTGTCTAGACCCTGAATTTATCTGGAATGTTGACTGGCAGATGGATGCTTTTTAGCCAGGGACATAGATATAACCACTATCCCCAAACATCTGACACAATAACCGTCGACTCCAATAACTTAACTGTATATGAGATTTTTATCTCAAACCTAAGCAGATGACACCGATGATGTTACTGGTCTAAAACTCTCAGTGAAGACACTCTGTCTGGTCTCACTTGCTGATGTACAGAAAGAAGCGAGGTCTCTGCAGGTGCTCCTCATTCATCTGCCTTTCCCATGTGGATTGTGCAGTGCTCTTATCTGATCACTCCAGGCCTCTGCCTCATTAGTCCCTGTGAATTCCAGAACTACTGTATGTCTTCTAGAACCTCCTGGTAGGGTGTTCTTTGATGCTCAGGTATGAGGTGAAGATCCACTCCGAGATCAACTCATGGTGGTTTAGAAAAAGGACAAGAGGACTTTGTTTGTGTAACCCTAGTGATTCCCAATAGCAAATTAAAAATTCACTTTGTTACCAAACCAGGAGTGGGTCATCTCTGGAATTCTGTGCTGAATTGTTGCTCAGTTGACATTATTCAGTATATTTAAATAAATACATTCCTTACACTTATATAGCGCTTGTCTGTTCTCAAATCGCTTTACAGGTAATGGAGACTCCACACCCCCACTGCCACTAATGTGCAGCATCCACCTGGATGATGCGACTGCAGCCATAGTGCACCAGAACGCTCACCACACATCAGCTAGTATCAGTGGGGAGGAGAGCAGAGTGATGAAGCCAGTTCACAGATTGGGATTATTTGGAGGCCATGATTGGTAAAGGCCAGGATGAAATTTGGAGAGGACACCGGGTAACACCCCTACTCTTTTTGAGAAGCACCCTGGGATTTTTAATGACCACCGAGAGTCAGGACCACGGTTTTACGTCTCATCCGAAGTGTCCCCTTCACTAAACTGGGGCATTAGGACACATACAGACCACAGGGTGAGCGCCCCCTGCTGGCCCCACTAACACCACTTCCAGCAGCAACCTTAGTTTTCCCCCAGGAGGTCTCCAATCCAGGTACTGACCAGACCTGCTGAGCTTCAGTATATTTGACAGGATGAGTTAGTGCCACAATAGGAGGGTCACTGACTGACTTTCCTGTCCTACTGGGGGGCTTCAGTGCTAACCCTTCAGCGTAGAAGTCTGGAGAATCCTGGAAGGTAAGAGTGGGAGGAGTGAGCATCCTGATCTACACCCTATCAGTAGTTCTGCTATTGAATTTCTGTGCTAGTCATGGATTGTCTATCCCAAACATTACGTTCCACTGAGTGTGGGCTATAAATGTACGAGGAACCATAAAATCGTGAGCCGAGACATCTTTGGCCAATGGTCAACGATCCACTTAGATGATATACACAGGTGTATCTGTGTACCTCAGGTTATATGAACTGGACACTCAGCAGAAGATGGGGTGGAGCAGTCAACTGATAGTGAACTGATGTACTGCACACTGGTCTGTTGAACAGAGCAAAGGAAATTCACAAAGATGCAAAGTTCGGGACAGGACAAACACCTGGCAGAGAGCAGTTAATATACACAAAAACAGGGTGTTACACAAAAATAACAGAAATATTAGTTGTCAAGATTGAAACTCTGAAGAAGGCACATATAAGAAAGACTTGCAGTCTCTATCGCTTTTGAAAACAGAAGGAAGTTGTCATGTTTTGTAACTTTGTGTGTTTCTTTAAATAGTGTGAGAGTTGTTAAAGAGAAAAAAATGTTTTGGATGTATTTATGCTGTCACGTCATTTTAATCACCGAGACTAGGATCTCAAACTCAGTGGGATGGGGGGTGTGCATGAGTACACACCATGAGGATGGTTTGTCCGATCATTTAATTAGCTGCAAAGTTGTAAAACATCTAACCAGGTTCCATGCTTTATAGGTAAGTATTTTA